AGACGAGAAGGAGGATGAGAATGAGGAATGAGCCGACGTCCACGTAGGCGGAGCTCCCTGGCTTTGTGAATCGGTTTCGCCGCTCTCGTCGCATTGGCTGCCATCGCGTAGACTTCTGTTCCCCGGCTCTCGCGACCGATCGGCTCCCGTCACCCACGTGATCGGCCGATTGTTTCTCGTCTCGGCTCGACTCCGGCCGGCGCTCTCTTTCGCTTCCTTCTCGTCGCACCGCGATCTGTTCTTCCCTTTTCTCGTCGTCGCTCTTTCCCTCTGTCCACCGTGCTTCGTTTTCTTTCTATTCCCCTCGTCCTCGGTATCCCACACTTGCGGCGAACCAAGATTTATGCGTGCCGCCAGTTGAGACGTTTGCGCGAAGAGATTGAATGTGATATTGAGCAGGGTTACCATACCAGCGTGAGCGGAACGCGGCCTACTCCAGCAGATCACTCTGAAATATTTGAGTCTCTCTCGCTGTCAGAGGTTTATAGACACGCGTGTCCATAATGAGCCGACATCACGCACCAACTCGTGTCAATTAATCATGCGCGCCTCTTTCACTAAGACTACGATACTCGATTGTGTGAGAATCTAAATTCCTGCAATGCTTTCAATTTTCTCATATATAAAATAAGGACAAATTGCTGCAAATAAATTAAAGTAAAAATATCTTTTAATTTTTTTTAAATCGCATACAGTATAAACTGTTAGCTTTTATTTTCGAAAGGTCACCATTTGCTTCGGCTTTTGTGATGCAAATAATTATCAAAATTTTATGCGCGATAACTTATCTTTTTCATATTTCGACACATGTCTGCTGAAAAAGATACGCACAAAAGCGAGATATATGTTTATAAATCTTCTCCAGCGAGTACTACCCCGATAGTATTCACACGATCAACTAACAACTTCGATGAAGTAACACATTACCTTCGATTTTATTTGAGTTTACTACTGTAAAATTACCCCTATAATAGCGATAATGAAACTGGGCTTGCTATAATAACGGTGATCTGTCTGGTCGCCCGGTGGTTACGATGTCTTTTCTAACTTTCTAACCGGCTGGCTTCTGTGGCTTCCGTAGTTTTCGTGGTTCGATTTTAAAAGCGATTTCAAATCGGTTATCATCCTTTAAATAATTTCTATGGTCAATTCGCGGCTATTCGCGGCTAAATCTCGTTGATATGAACATATAAGAGCAAACTATTTTCCTCGCGAACAAGATCTGCAATCGCGTTCAGTTGGCCGCGTAATTTTTATCTATATAATTTGTAAGACGACTAAAGTCAGTGATTTCATCGTCGTTGATTATGCTAAATGAAAGGTGCGTTCGCGACGGCAATATTAATCCGCGATTCCTTTTAATTTTCTCAAGCAAGGCCCACCACCGCGTGTCCCGTCATCGCCAATCAATATGCTAACGAGCGATTTCATGCTGCAGCGAGGGCAAAATAAAAACTAACTAAGGTAGTGAAATCGAGCGAGACGCCTAGGGGCAGCGAGAGAGAGAGAGAGAAGGAGGGACAAAGAGAGGACGGCAGACACGATCGGTAATCGAAGCAGTCGTAGTCGGCGAAGAGTCGCCGCTGGGCGATTCCACCTTCCACCTTCCTTCTGGGTATCTCTTTTGAATGTGCGCCGGCCAATTAAAATAATTAGCGACGAAACGAACGAGAGCGAGTTTAGTGCACGATTATTGATACAGATAAAGAGCGAGGGAGATAGATAGACGCGAATGATGGGCAATGGGGAAACGGAGAAGCACGGAGATACGTTATTTACGATGGACTTGATTTAATAACGTCTATCGCGCGGATAGCTCGTGGCTGCAATCGAACGCGAGCCCGCCGACGTAAAAATTTGAAATAACTCGGCAAGTTGATGAGGATTTAAAGCGATTCGAGTTACTAAAACGTTGATGATTCTTTATAATGCGAAGCATATCTCTCGCGGTCGTCCCGATCGAGCGTTTAAAAAATTTCGATTAGACGTTTTAATTTTCGTGCGAGCACTCCGCGATTGCGACATAGGAAAGCTTTGATCACTTTATGTCATTTTGTTGAAGTTGTATCCTTTTATGAGAAGAACGTTATTTATGATGAATTTAACAAATGCTAAAATGATCTTTCGTGCAACCAATGCGTATCCGGCAAAAAAAGAAATATCAAAGCAAACGACGTGTTTTCGCAATACGTAGCTCGTTTAATTGCTATATTAAACGAGCTATGTTGCGGATCGCGGAATCGCAATCCAGATAATGGCATACCGATTAAATTCAATGTAGCAACGGCTAGCGGGGCGTCTACTTCAATTACTTTTTGTACTTTATCGAACTTTAATCTTTTATAGCAAAACGTTATTTACGACGGGCTTGATTTAATAACGATCCAGGCAACGTCTCTCGCGTTGCTCACGGTCAGTACAAAATAAAGAGAATCGCCGTCCGACGGAAACTCCGGAAACAATCGTACACAATACAGCGTACACAATAGCCGGCGGCATCGTTTAATTTCTCGACTGGACTTTTCTAACGCAAGGGCGTCGGGATTAAATCCGACATAAACACATGAGAAAGGCATTCGCTTTAATTATTATCCCGTATACAATATATTATTTAAAAACAATTGTACGGTAGCTGATATCACGAGACTGATAATGCCAAGGATTGAAGAGCAAAGATCAATGATCTTCGGAAGGGCTTGATTTAAAAGTATTTAGAAATTGAAACCGCAGAATCGCGAGAAGCGCTTCGAAAATTGTCCAAATAAAAAGAGTGAGTAGCACTGAAAGTCTTTTAAGCTTCATTTTGTTTTCTTTTAATCTTCGTTAGATAGCTCTTATCAAAGAGCAAACTCTCGATCGATACAATGGGTGAAAATCTTCCGCGCGCGTTGCTTCCTGTAAAAGATGGCCCGACTGTCTCGTAAATTCCGACAACGCGAGGACTCGCGCAGTCTATTACTGCTTTGGCAGGCTCTGCACTCTGCACTGCCCCTACACGTTTGTAGTCAGCGCCGCACAAAACCCCGACGCTATTACATTTCGACCGAGGGCCCGACGGAAGACGGTAATCGATTACGCGGAGCCCGCGCTTCCGCTCTCGACTTTATTTAGCGCGCGTTACGTAGCAACAATGCCATTTAGACATAGGTACTACACATCTGTCGTATGCTCGAGAAGGAGCTGCAAGATAATTTTGTGATTATGTTCCCTTCTAACTTCTAGAAACAAAAATATATCTGTGGGAAATGCACTTGAATAGACTTTTAAATAGAATTTCTAAAAATGATGCGAATTAGTTCTCGAAGCGTGAATAAAATTTTACGACAACGTGAGAAACATCAGATGTGTCGTAACATGCCACGTTTCGTGGATTAAGAGAAATACTGGGGCCCGGGACTAGATTAGAGCGAAGCTGACAGCTAAAGCCGCCAGAATCCGACGACGTCGTTCGTAGCCGTCGTTGTCGTCATCGCCCGTCGTCGTTGTCTTCGTCGTCGCTTACCTCGAGTGCTTAGGCATTGTTCCCCCGTTGAAGGACCGCTGCCGCTCTTACGGCGAAACCTGACTCGCGTTCGAAACCGCGCGCCGGGGCGGCGTTTCATTTATTCAAAGTAAGTTATTGCGATCGGCTCGGCCACTATATTACCGGGCGAAGACTCCTCTCCTCCTTCATCCATTTCTCTTTCACCGTTTCCGTCTCCCTCTCTCGCCTGTGAACCTTCGTCTTCTCCGTTAAGAGTCGGGCTCCCGGTCTCGATTTCCAGGTAAGATATTCATCTAATTCCCCCCCTTCCCCATCCTCTTCCCCGCCCCCTCCTCCTCCCCCTCTCCCTCCCCCCCGATTAGTGGACGACCGAATGGCAATCCCGAGTGCCTGTATAAGCTTTTCAACCGTTTGGACAGTGGATACTAACTTCTCGGCGACCAGACGATCCGTTATATTGTGCATTCATGCTAGCGAGCGATCTCTGTCTCGAAACGGAATTGCTGGATGGAGATAGATATCTGGCGCACGAGATGCGTGTTCAGTATCAATTATATCGGCTACTTGTTAATTACCCGCGGCTACGTATGTCGCCTCGCATTTATCACGGAGCTGCGGAGAGTTTAAATATATTATTGCGTTGATTAGGAATGGTGAGAGACGATTAATCACCACGGGAGATTCATTGCGGAACGATATTTCTCGAATGTAACTTTGTAACAGGCAGAGAGAGAGAGAGAGATCCTTCCGATCGACGCTTGAGCGATTTCCGGGCCCGCTAATTCGAGAGATTCGCAGTGCGAACGAGCCGAATCGCCGCTGAGAGAGCACGCTACGTGAATGCCGGATACGCAAAGCCGCGAATCTACTCGTTCGGTATGCCGGTGCGCGCGACGGGGAAGAACCCTTGGGAAATTTCTTGACAACGGCTGTGCGCGCGGGGGGCCGCGCAACGTGGGAACAATTTGCAAGCCCGTGGCGGTTCGTAACATTCCTAAGCTCAACGGTAAACGGTTATTCGGGACGCGTCCTCGTACGTTCGTACGTGCATGTGCGGTCGCGCTCCTGTCCCGTGACGCCGAAGACGCCGCACGGAATTTCGGAATTCGTCGCGGAGTTCCGCGCCTCTTCTTTCGAAAGTCGCGTCCGCGTCTCTTCCTACGGTCATTCCTTCCTGAACCGTGAGTCGTTGATTCCCATCATTTTATGTTATTATGCCGACAAATCTGCCTGTCTGAAACTATTTTAAGCGAAGATATGATTAATCCTCAAATGTGTGATAAATATTGTCTATCACCATCGCGCGCGTGCGAGCCTTTATTCCGCATTCTTTTTCATAAATCCAGAAACATTATTGGGAAGAGGAAAGAGCGACTAAGACGTCGCTGCCAGAAAGAGGAGGATTGTAAACGTCGACACGAGTGACATGCGTATTTCGAGCACGCGGCAACGAAATCCCGTCGGTTCTATTTGTGGGGCGCCACGGTGATGTTTCACATTGACGTCCCGACGAGCCTCCTCGGGCTTCGTCTTCGCGCGGTGAATCTTCATCGTCGGAAAACTTGAGCCGCCTGCGCCTTGTGCCTAACGCGATCTCCCGTTCGCGAAAGTCGACACGTTATTTTATATTGGGATGGTAAATACGTTGCTTCCTTGTACGCGCGTCAAACATGGATACCTCATTTTCTTTTTCCCATATGATTTACGGATTTGTATCTGTAAACGATATTATTATCGATACTGCGACATCACACTATTTCAGATATCCATTGCAATGCGAAAGATTATAAATTTTCCTTCTTCTATTTATTTAACGTTTTAAAATATTGTTTTATACATTGCTAATATTTATCGTGTTTGTATGATATTTTGTGTTCCCTTTTTCCATAACATATACGCAGGTTCTACATTACTCTTATGTAGCTTCATAAAAATTTTAGTTGGTGCATATAATCCTCTTGTTTCCAAATTCTTAATACATCTTTTATGAGAGAAGGCGAGATAAACTTGGAGCAGATGCTGCGGTCTTTTTCGCCTCTCGCGCGCTCTTCATTCCCCGTATAGGAAAGAAAGAAAGGGAAAGAACGTAAGGGTCGGTGAAAGGGAAGTGAGTGGAGTGCCGCGAGTGTAAGTAACGAGTTCAGAATTTCATTAGCGGACGGGCGGCGAGATTATTTTAAAGAGATACGGAATTACCTGATTAGGAGGGAAAAAGTCATTAACTCAGGCGAAACTAATTAACGCTAGGCTCGAGAACGGTTCCTCTTCTCTTCGTGAATTCGCTCTTAGCTCCGCCATGGCCGCAAGTCTTTTTCGCATCTGCCATTTCTCTCCTTTTATTCTCTCTGGTTTTACACTCGCAGTATGCAGTCATTATCGAAAGGAAATCGATTCGTCTTTTTGCCAATACGATAATACCAAGAACTACTTTTCATTTCAATGCCTCGTATATTGATCGCGTTTGTTAGAATCGATCATTATTTCATCTGCTGTCATATGATAAAAAATATTATTAATAGAATATTTCAGAAACTGTAAAACATTTATTATCGTACACTCGTAACGTGCAGCTTTGATTTAATTTTTCAGTGCGATATACAACGTTACAACGGGGGAAAGTACGTTCAATGAATTATAATTGGGCTTTCCACTCAGCGGGAGCACGAAACGGGAGTGCCGGAAAGTAACAAGCCAGACTATCGGAAGTATGGTAGCAGAGAAATCTTGCAGGCGCAGAATAAGGAGGTAAGTGTAAACAATAAGTCTCGTAGCGAAGGGTTGAGCCAGACTAATCTCGTTATAGTTATGAATCGCCGCGCTCAGAATAATGTTACTACTTAGGCGCGCCATCCGAGTTAATTTTATTCGCATGGCGAAGCTTTGAAACATTTATTTATTTGTCCAACAAATATGCCTTTTTCATGTCTCGATCAATAAACTTGATCGTATTACTTGTATAAAAAATATACAAATTCTATAATTACAAAAATGTAATTAAAAGAGCATTATAAAACGTACGACCAGAGTTTTAATTTTTGTAGAAAAGAGCATCTTCTCTCTATTTTAAACTCTGTTTTAAGAATGAGAATCAGAAGATTGTGATGATAAAGTGTATGTAATGATAATGTAACAATGACGTATCTAAAGATAATGTCTTTATAATTATATGTATGTAAAATAACAGGTGTGGATATTTTTCTTGAAAATATATGTAAAATGCAAACAATTATTTAGCCGACCAAACGACTTTTACGTTACCAAGATTATCGCAAACAAGACATGGCTATGCGATCTTGTCACATTATATACGCCTCCTCGCACTCTTTATGATAATAATTGCTATAAGTTTTCACTTATACATATGTAACACGGTATTAAAAGGCAGATGCATATGGTGCATGATGGCGTCTGATTCGGCACATTGTTTCATATCAAAATTAGATGGAATCAATTTACATTTATTTAATTTTATATATTGTGTGTGTGAAGAACTTTATAAATTACGGATATCGTTTTCTATATATAATGTGTTCTTATACATTTTTTTAATATAAGGCACGTAAAGAGATACGTAAATCAGACATATCTAAGCATAATATTTAATATTCAACTTTGTTGCGTAAAACGTATAATTTACATACATCATATGTCCAAATTTCTGGAAATTTTAATTCAAAAATAAGAATAATAAAACCCACAGTGAAGAAACAAAGACATTTAAAAAAGTAGATTTTTTTATTATTCTTTATATGTCTGGATATGCAGATTGTTTCGATTAAGTAATTGTGCAATTTTTTTCACAAAATTGCGTAAATAAAATCGATTATCGCGTCTCATCTATTAATTTAATATACTTCGAGGCAGGTTAATATAAAATTCAACTCTTTTGCATCTACAGTACTTCTAATCTGAATCGAAATTATTACTCTGCATTGGTCAAATTAGCATCGAGTGTTTTTGCTGTCGGTACTTATCGCAATTTCTATCATGTCTATAAATACACACGTAACTGACGTATTTGCATAAACCTACCGTGCTCGTTCCTGTGCGTTGAAACTGTCTTTCATTGCTTCGTTAGTTACGCGAAAAGACAGCCATAGTTATGAGTTTATGGCCGCGATAAGAATTGATAATTTACTCATTCGAGATAACACGAGTGGAGGGATTACTATCTTTGCGCTGTTGTGTAAACTAATTTCTTCACGAATCATCATGATGCAAATGACATCGTTGCGCATCGCCATGCATCGTAGGAATTATAGAAAAGCGTTATTATCGTCGCATTGCTATTTTGTCGACAATATTGCAACATCATCGTATCTCGCGCTGCAGTTTGCAAAGTGAGTTTGCACGTGGTATTAATTGCATAGAGACATAACGAACGGGGCGCAGTGTGCGCAGAGATGCATATACCTTTTGCGTAGCTTCGTTAACGTAGGAAAAGAACTGTTTTACGATGCACAATTATTGCGCTAATAATTTATCGCGGCTCAAGCATTCATAGGGCGATGCTTCGCTGATACCTGCACGCGTGGCAACGTCCATGCCAGAGTGTTTGCCAGAGAAATATGCGTGTGTACATAAAGGGCACTATTTTTGTGCTTTCTAACACAGCGCGTCCCCTTTCGCTCCGCGAGAGCTCATAGCACCTCTCGTAAGTAATACCCAGATGGAATAAAATTGTAGCGCTTTGCGCTATGTGTCCGCCCAGGTACTCGCCACAGATCATCCCCTCAGGGTTCTTCGTTAAGCGAGGAAATTTTAAGGTTGCCGCATAAAACTGCGACTAAAGCCGACGACAAAAATCCTCGAGTTATGGGGCCGGGCACACCATTTTACCGTGCAAGCATATACAGGTCGTTTCGTCTCCCATGGAAAAGTAGCAGAGAGAGGCGCGAAGGCTATTTCTTCCCTCTTTCGCACTCTCTCTCTCTTTCTCTCTTTCTCTTTCTCTCTCTCGCCCTCTTTCACTATCCAAGCTTTATCCTCCCTCCCGCGACCGTACCTGCACCCTTACTTTCCGCTCTTGAGTTGCTCCCTTTCTTCCCCATATGCAATTCCCATGCATATCTGCGTGCTTCTTTACGAGGAACATCTTTTTTCTCCTGTCGTCGTCGTCGTCTTTCTGGATATTCAGCGAGAATATGCGGTTGGCAAGAGGCACGCCGTTTTCGGCGCACCGCCCTTAATCGAAAACCATCAGGCGTCACTTTTGTATAAAATAAAACAGTCGCATCGACAAAGATTTCAATATCGTCAATTTTCTCCGTCCGATAATTAAGATTGTACTCTCGAAGAATGCAGCAATTACGCCTTTCGTGCAAATTAACGATATTTACTGGCCGTCGATGCGCGCATTACGCGGGAACATTAATCTATCGCGTCGGCGATAATTAAATTTATTCCGTTTCAATTATAATATCACTGACGGACGATGATGTAGACAGCCGGTGTACGGCGCGTTTAATTGCAGATGCCGGTCTCGAGTCATGAATTACGAATCTTCGATTTTCCGTGTTCGTTCGACGGTGGCGGATCCTTTCTTTTTCCGTCGGATCGCTCCATCACGCGCTCTCGATATTTATGCAACGTCGCACCGACGTAACGATGATCGAGCCTCACTCAGCGTTATGCACCAATGAACCCGAGAATGCAACTTCATCTGGATTGCCCCAACGGGCATTCCGGGCCGGTCATTCCGAACCGGTTTCGGTTTACAATATAAGTTACGGCGAGAGAAACGGACGGCCGATAAGCTGATAAACAAATCTTCCGCTACCGCTCGAGCGATTATTCTTCGCGCGGCGCGCTTCGCGATCGTTACGTCGGCGAATGGCTTTTTAATCGAGGCAATTTGTCGCCGTTCGCGCGTCGTTTAATTAATAAAAACGTTGATTCGCTGAAAATTACTCGTTTCGAAAATATTACAGGGCATGCGAGTCTCCCCCTTCCTCCCTTCCTAAACGAACTCTATTGAAATTAACGATCTTATCAAGGTGTCGCTTATTAAAACGTTAAACCGCGCGCGGCGTGTTCCCGCCGGGAATTGATTAAAAACGATGTAAACGGTCGTGGCCGCATACTTACTATCTGGTAGCGTTCGTTAGGAAATACCTGGAAACGCATTTTCGCCGAGAGCTAATGCCAGTCGATCCATCTTGCCCGCGGCGGTAATAAACCGTGAATAATGAATGATGATTAATTTCATTCTTATATCCGGGTGTTTAAAAAAAAATTGTATCTACTATCTACCAATATAAATCGCATAAACCACGCTAATTGGTTCAGATAAACAAACGAAAAATGTATTTTGAATTATTGACACAGTTTGTATATTTGAAAGTTCGAATAGACAAACAGCTGCAAATGAGACTCAACAAAAAGTCCGTAAATGTCTTCAAATTTAATTATATTCAATGCTGAAGATTAACTGTGGACAATATCCAACTCGATTCGTGGTATCGCATATAGAAACCCCTGCAGAAAGACGACGTATAAAATGTCACGGCTCCGAACCTCCGGCGAGAGAGCTGATTTCGCTGCTTATAAACGCTCGATTCTGCGCGACTTGCAGCAACGGGGTCGCACTTAAACATCGTGCACGTCGGGCGCAGCGAATACGACGCGAGTTTACGCCGGCTCGTATACCGGTCGCTACTTACGCGCGTGTAACAGGAAACTTACCTTAACCCCGTCACCTTGCCACACTTATTTCAACCTGGTGGCCATGCACACACAGCGTGCGCACAGTCTCCGCGATAGGCGATTTCGAGAGCGTGAGCGTGAGCGAATCGCTCGTACACGCGCGAGCGAACCGCGGGCTCTCGAGATAGAAGCCGCCGCTGTCACTGTCAACGCCTAATGAACGATATATATAAGCCAAGGGGAAACCTTGCTAAGAATCCAAGATGGCTACCCGCGTCCCGAAGGATCGCGAGGGAATCCTGTGATTACATTCCTGGCTCACCCGCTCCCTCGTCGCCGCCACCCACGCCGGCACGTTTCGGAAGTCCCGTTACCGTCGCTCGCCCTTCACCACTCCGCCGCCGCGCCGGTGGTACCTTATTTCAGGAGCCTTCCGGTGTGTCCCGGATAGTTTTAGAACATCTTCCTGACGTACAAAAGTCTTGTCGTTTGAGCGGAAATTGTAACGCCGTTGTCGCAGCTACCGGCGCCCCACGATTATGCGCTGCGTCTTGTTAATGCCGCGCTTCCCGCGCGACTAAAACCGACTTTTACTTAATCGTTCGTCAGCTTCCCTTCCGCTTAATTCGCCAGTTAAAAACGGTCAAGTAACGGGATTGTTACTATTTCACGCTAGCGGATTACCGGCGTACAATGATAATTTTAGTAAACGCACGGATTATCTGTCGGAAGTGTTTCGAGCGCGATAAAATCCGACGTTTCTGGCAGGATTCAGACGTCAAATTTTCAAAAGCTTGTGTGACAACGACAATCGCAACGCGAAACAGTTCGTCGATAAAAGGTCGCGATAATACGCGCGACGATAAACCATCGAGATCATCTATTGATTATAACGGTGTTTACGATTATTTGTACATTTCGTATGTTTTGTGTTAATACACGCGTGCGGGATGATTTATCTGCTTGTACTTGCTCGCAAATCATTCTTAATTTTGGGACAATTCATCACAGTTAATTTAAGTTAATCATGCGGTAATGTAAGACAGAGGACATATATTATTTCTTCTTTTCGTCTCACTGTACTTACTTGACTTTAAACG